CTTCAATTTATTAGTATTAAATTTATTATTAATATATCCTAAGCTAAAATTATGTATCTTTATTCTAATCTTAATACTATAAAAAATAATTTCAAAATATCCTCAAAACGTGTATTAATAGATTAGTTACACCTTTTTATTCTTTTTATAATTCTTTTTTTTATTTGAATTAATTAAAAAAATTGGATTGTACAAAAACTAATAAATATATAAATAAATTCATATTAATTTTTGATAATTGTTTGTTTAATAATCTATATATCTGGTTACAAAACAAAATGCTTCCTTTATTTATTAAAAATACTTATCGAATGTAATCACAAAAACCTAATAAATATTAGTATTTTATTGATAATTCTAAAAAAATCTGATTCAATAGTTTATCAATAATTTTAATTAAATATAAAATACTCGCAAATTATATTTTTCAAGGTATTAATATATTATATAGATTTTTGGAAAATGGAAAGATTTTTAAAAGGAAAGGGGATTTTTATTTTATATTCCTTTTAATAAAACAGAATATTATTAATTATAGCTTTTAGAAAATGAATAAAAGCTTTCATACAATTAAACAATCTCCTAATCCAAATCCTTTAATCAAATCTAAACCAAATAATCTAAAAAAACTAATATCGAAATCCAAGCACCTTTCTACCCCTCCAATCAAGAAAGAGCCCATTGACGATATTAAAATTAAAATTGAATTGATAAAAAAGCATCCAAAAAAAAGAATTAAAGTAACCCCTTTAGAAAGAAATATATCTGAAGTAAATAATACTCAAATAATTCAGAATATATCTAAAAATATATTTGAGTTTATACTTAATAATAATATCTTAAAAAGTACATCTTCAACTATACTACCCCCATCAATAAATTGTATACTATTAATTAATTAATTGAATATACTAATTAATATAAAGAATATACAAACTATCAATACTTTATCTACTAATAACAAAAACCCCCCCTTTAATAAATTTGAACTTTTTCAATCTTCTTTTTAAAATGATTTAATTGATATTATGGATGATATTCTAATATTTCAAATATTATAACATACTAGATTTAAAAACAATCTACTTAAATATAATTTTTATAAAGATTTAATTAATAAAAAAGTTGATAGAGAAAAATGGATATAAATAGGATGAAATTTGGGTACCCTTTTTTTTCATTAATTCAAAATTATTTGTTATAATTATCTGATTTTTTGTTTTGTATAATTAATATTTTATATATTTAAATAATAATTATAATCAAATTTTATTGTTTTTTAAATAAATATAAGAAAAAAGGTTTATATTCCTTATACTTTTATTTAAACTGATTTTAATCTTTTTTTAAAAAATAAAATTTTAATTCCTATATTCGATATATATAATATATATATTAATAAAATATTAATAATAAATAATTTAAAATAAAAGATATTAATATTATTAATAAAAACTTATTTGCAAATATATATTAGTTACCCCTATTCTCAATATATTGTATTATTTTTTGTTATTGATCTTAATTATTTGTTTTTTGTGGTTATCAATAGGTTGATATGATTTAGGGTGAATTGTATGTTTTCTAGAGTGTATTATTACACTCATTTTAGGTATTTTTGGTGGTATTATAAACTTATCGGGATTTGTGTTATGTATAGTGTATACTCCGTTTTTGTTTTGTTTTTTGTAATTTGTGTATGTATCTCGAAACTATTTTTTTAGTTTTATATAATCTATAAAAATATTCTTTTGCTTGGTATATTTTTGATAGGGATGTTATTTTATAATATTTTTAAAAAAAAGATTAATAAATAATAAATAAATGTTATAGAATTATATATATATCGAAATTAAATAATTAATACTTCAATAATATGAATATTATATGGGGGCTTATTTAGGTTGTTCTTGTTTTGAAGTTATATTTTATACTAAATCTTCTTTTTGAAAAGCTTTAGATGATTTATATGTGTAAAATAATATTTTAATTAAAAAAGATTAATAAGTAGTATATCAGAGGTAGATAGAGGATATTATACAAATCTAAAAAAACAATCAATATGTTGATTTCTATTAATAGGAATTAGTTTAAAGAATATAGGTTTTATTAAATTATTTTTATTTTTTGAATCTGGGGATAAAGGAGTGGATTGGTAAAAAAAAGAATTATTGATAGGAACAAAACTAGAAGTTATTTTATTGAATCGATTGTATAATTTAATATTAATATTTTGAAATTGATTTGAAGATTTTTTATAAAATGATTAATAGATTTAATTATTTGTTTATTTTAAGGTTACATATACTAAAAAAATCATATAAGCTTTATAGGAATAATAAAAAGTAAGATTTACTTTTATATTAAAATCTAAAATATAATAATATTATTGTTGTTGTTGTTATATTCAAAAAATAAAAATATATTATTATTAATTACTATAATGATACACAAAGAAAACACAATCTGTATAGTACAATTATTTTTTCCAAAATTTCTATATACACACCATACAAATTATAGAAAATTTTTTATATAAAACAGAATTCTATTTTTAGAATTTGTGCCAAATGATTCAAATCGGCCTCAGTATATTCGCGGCTGGGTTGAATGGGTTGGCACTCTCGCTCTCAATGTTGCTTTTCTGATGCCATTTCATAGTGAAGGTTACGCCTTTCAATTGACATGCTGACCAAAGCCGATTAACTAACTGGTTGACTCATATGTGGGGCAACGGTGGGAGCTCCGATACTCGATATATATTCAATTCAGAGCGGTGCCTGTGATTAATTGCTATCGAGACAAGACGGCAAATCTATAAATCATAACCTATTCGTTGTATCAAGAAACCTACATCTTCATCAACATCATGCATCTCGTCAATTGCAACGCCGAGAAGCGACCAGAGGTTTTACGTGACTTCATCCGTCAGAATCCTCTTGGTATCTTAACAACTGCCATCAAATCGGAGACGCATCCATTTCTTCAAAACAGTCACATTCCCTGGATAATCGATGCGGACTTTGATGGCAATACGAATGGTCTTGGGAGACTTCGCGGTCACATTGCACGACAAAATCCTCAGGCAAAAGCCATCATAGAAAGTTGCACAGCAGACGACAAGTCGCCAGCATCAAATGTCCTCGAGAATGACGTTCTTGTATTGTTCAACGGACCAGTTCATCACTATGTGACCCCCAAGTTCTACAAGCAGACCAAGCCTGATACTGAAAAAGTCGTTCCTACCTGGGATTACGAGGCTGTGGAGCTTTACGGGAAAGCAAAGGTCTACTACGATTCAAAGTCTGCTGAATCCGGGACATTTCTTGCAAAGCAGATCTCTGACCTCTCCGAGCATATGGAGACTTCGATAATGGGTTATGGCAAGACTGCAGGAACACATCCGTGGAAAGTGGAGGATGCACCTGAGCGGTACATTGAATTGCTCACCAAGAATATCATTGGCATAGAAATCGAGATCACTTCTATGTCGGGGAGGTTCAAGTGGAGTCAAGAGAAGAATATTAATGATAGAGCTGGTGTGATTGAAGGATTCAAAAACTTAGATACGCCTGGCGGTGCACTACTCTCTGAGAAAGTCGAAACCTACGCTGCTCTTTTTGACGCAGAGAAAGCAGCAAAGAAGGCGGGGATATAGTCATTTGAAGGAGAGAGGAATTTGTGTATTCCAAAATTCAGTGTCGTTAGTTTTTGTATGGTACTTGTACATTCTTTGGCCTCATTACATCTCGACAGTAAGTTTGATAGTCGATTGAGCTTAGCTTTCTATGCGCTTTGGGTTGCAGACTTCGAATTGGAGTTATCGTTTGTTTGAGAAGACTACAGCTATTGAAACTTCTCATCAGAATTCCCTTTCTTTCAAACAGTCCAATCAGAAAGCAATTGGGTTTATATCAAAACGAAGCATAATAAGTGATGCTATGACAGCATTAGACCTGAGGTCTAGAACCAGGTTCCGTTTGGACTCGGCATACTTGAGTTTCTCACTTATAAGCAGGCTTGGGGTCAGTGTATAAGGGTTACATAAAAGTAATATAACGGATAATATAGCAACCCAAAGTTACACGAACAGTAACGACCTGATTCTGATATGTCTCTCACCCAGGAAATTACAAAATCTATGGCTTTAAGCCTCTTGATCTATCTATAATACGCATCGGTCTTTACGGACGCGATCAATATACTCGTGACCTCCCTCGAGCTTGAGACCTCTGTCCACGCAAGGGGTCAATTTGACATACGACAACGGCTATACATAGTCTGAGATATCAAAAATAAATGAAATGAATGAAGATTGATGCGGACTAATGCACTGCCAGGCGCGTTATGTGTATGCAAATGTGTGTAGCCGTCGTACCCGCAGTATGGAGTGCATGTTTTTGAAAATGACGGTATTTTGAGATTTCATCGTGTAGGTATCTCCACTTTTTGCTAAATTGTTTGTACATATGGGTTGTCTGAATTCGTTAGGGAGGAAAATAATGTACCTGCATGCTGGCACTGACATTTCTCTCACTCATACTGCGTGCTTTCTGAGTACTGAAACCAAGCACTTGATTATTTAGATAAAGTTCAATATTAAGTGAATACACGACAATATCAACCTTTTCCCAAGCTCCAATGCCCAAAATAAGTCCAGCCAAGTACAATACAACCCAATACAGCCAACCAGTACCAATACATCTGAAAGCTGGAATACGAAAGTTCCGTCTCCTGTGTCTCTTGTTTAATTTTCTACATGCTTCCCCTCTACTTTTCCATAATAAATAAGTATAAATGTGCCAATCAACCAAAACACGGTTGGTAATAATGAAAGTGAATGCCTTTTTGACGAAATCTCCCCTGGCCTTTTTCGTTTCATCTACAACCCTCCAACCAAATTTTCTCGGATTGAACTAACAATATTTGCTGCTCCCTCATGTCAAAGCTGTAATTAATGAAGTTTTCTCTAGTTGATACAAGGCTTTTGAACGGTGATATCAATAAGAACTTAACCTTGTCCTGGTCGTGCTCGATTTTACTTCCGAGTCTTCATGCTTGCGACTCTTTTTGCTCATTGACTCCCATACTTTATCAGCGTCTGGGTGCCATTCGGTTCGAGCGGTCTTTCTATCCCGCTTCCTGTGGAGATCGACGTGCGATTTCAGATTATCTGTACGCCCAAATTCTTTCACGCAGAAGGGACATTTGTGTTTGGGGGCAAGCTGGTCGTGTGTGTGCTCATGTCGCTTGAGGTGTTCCTGTCGTTGAAATTTCCTGTTGCATCCGGGGTGGAGACAAGGCAACTTGTTTCTGTTTTGCACTCGTATCGGTACTGTTTCTCGCTTTATTTTCCTACGGGTTGTGACTTTTGTTGGGGTGGCGGCTTGGATTCTTTGCAGAGCAGCTGCGCTTTGAGGGCTGTCGAAGTACGGTCTTCGGAACTTTTGTTCTCGTATAGGAGAGATTGACTCTTGTCTGATGTCTTGTCTGAGGTCTTGGTAATTTGTTGGTGGAGGGAGATATCCTGTGGTAAAAGTCCCTGCGGGAGAATTGTTGTAAGATCTCGGAGTGTTGAAATCTGATGAGGGTGTTCCAAATTTGACAGGTGTGAGTGGACCGATTGGAGAAGACTGAAAATCGGCAAAAGTGTCGATCAATGTTGTTTGTGCTGGGTCCACATAATCCATAGCTCCCGAAGATTCAGAAGTTGAAGTTGGTGAATACAAATCGTCCATAAGCGATGGGATGTCACTTGAAGGACAATGTGTTTCAAACGACCCAAAGGCAGCAGGTTCGTAGCTTTGGAAACTAGTATCAAAGGCGATTGAAGGATTTGCATCGGCCAATGTCTTTCCATCATCCATACCAAAGAACGTGCTAGGTTCTGGGAAGCCGGTAAGCATGTCTTGTGTCATGGCTGACATAGCACAGAATGCATTGCTATTTGAGCTTCCATATCTATCTGGGAGGTTGTTGTAGTCATGGAAAGATAAATCCTCCATCTTGAAGGTCTCTTTGAAAGACGGGCGTCGAGTAATTGAACTCGCAGGTGTGCCAGCATGAAGTTGCAAAGAAGAGTCCCAAGAGGAATTTAATGACTCGGTATAAGAATCACTCGCTGACGGAGTGAGAGTACTTGTAGGTTGGTTGATTGAATAGGAGTTTTTCCTGCTCTCGTACACCAGCATAGCTATATGAGAGTAGATAGTTGAAACTTTGAAGCAAAGACTAGTGCGGAGTTAATATGGTATATGCTGCAATTTGTTACATCAGAAACTTACGATCTTCTAGGTGCTCTGCACTCTGTATGTGTCCTTGAGAAAAGTTGAAAACGCTATATCTATTCAGTGAGTCAATGAGTTTCAAGGAATTTGAAATTGTCCAGGGAGATTCTTGCTTCCATTTATGAATGTAGTTATGAATGTCGACACCATTGGTGCCGTGAAAACCGACATCATTACCAATATTATCACTCCAGAAGGGATATAGCTAGACAGAACTTACAGACTATTTGCAGTTCTCAAGACAGATTTAAGTCGCGTTTTGAGTCGCGTACTGTTGAAAAACTGCAGTGCGGCACACGCAAGGCTCGTATATCTCAAGATCGAATAGGGATCAGTTCTACCCTTTCCAAGAATCGAACGCTGGATCTCGCTAACTAGGAAATTAGTATTTTTCAGGAACGCGCCGTTGTACCAAGAAGGACTCACTGGATATCTACCAATTCTGTGAATTACAGCAAGGGAATTAAGGAGTGTGTTCAACTCCCGGAGAAGGATGAAAAAACAGTATAGCACAAGCAGGACTTCTGAGACGAGCTATTGTTCAGTGTTAATCGTGCGGTACCTTGCAGAATAGCTTCGAAATCCCTTGAGGGGGGGTAAGTTCTCCCTCTTTAATGGCCCTCGCCTCGCGGAAGCCAAATCATACATGTCAAATGATGGCGAAGAAGTCCTCGAGTAGGTTGGATCAACACTAGTCTGTCAAATTGTGGATTGTGGGGTTTCCATAAGACACTGATAATGATCTATTGGTGAAGACCAAGAGAGTTAATTGTGGGCTTAGTCTCATTATTTCGTACATATGCAAATTGGTCTAATATGACAGGGATCAATCGCCAGAAAGCAAAGAATTATGCAGGTCCTTCTTCCACATCACACTTGACATGAAGTGAAGAGCTGTGAAATCCTTGGTTTTAATCCAGAGATTTGCACAAGGTTGCCTCCCTGGGTGCAGATCTACGATCTCGCATTCTCCAAACCGTTTGTAATCAGCCATTTGTGTGCCCATTACGAGGTTGAGTTTTTCGCGAAGAATGAGACGATGGTCTCTGGAATGCTCAACATTATGAGGGCTTCCAGTATTAGCCATCGCGCTGATTCGCGACATTGAGATAGCTTGAAAGCCATCAGGCCATTGTCAAAAGTCTTTGACTTCCACTGGCGTTTTCAATCAACCTTGGAAGGTCTCGATTGATTGTTCAATTGAAACCCTCGGAGTTGATGATGTGCACTATCTCAACAAAATGCTTTGTTTGTGCGGGTGTTCCAGAAAGCATATGATTATTGGTCAATCAGTTATTCACGATACTTCATGGGTCCAATCAAGATCGGTTGTGACACAGCAGTCAGTCGCGCTTACTTCTGCCAATAAACCAATAAATGAGAAAAGCCTCTGCCACTTGATAGACGCCTCCGAGGCCCCCAAGATAGAAAGCTGAAATAGCCACCAAAGTTTTTTTTGGCTGATCTACGAACTATCAATCGGGAAAAAGACCTAAAACAGTATCACATATGATAGAAAATTCAACCAATGATCCAACTTTCACGAGGATTGTAAAATATGGCTAATCAAAAGTTCGGACTCAACAATACGCGAACTCTTTTCTGGTGTTACCCTACGGTACAAATCCGTGCTCTAACATATTCGTATTAGTCGGTACGGAGGTACAGTCAGCCCGCGAGGGAACGGAAAAGATGTATAGTAGGTAGGTAGCGGATGAGCCGAATAGGGATGCTACCTCTCCTTTATTCCGGCCAACATTTATTGGGTCGGCTCGGCTAGTCATATGTGATATCACTCGCATTAATTCAAAAAGATGGTGAAAAACTGGCAATACATACAAAGAACAGGTTTCTATCTTGCCGATTATTGCGATGAAAAAACAAACATAATTTATTGCGTTTGTTAGATTAATATGATAAAAGTCCTGGACCAACAAAAAGCCAGCGCATCATATTTTCGTTGCCCTGCCATCCTAGGTAATACCTAGGCATCATCCGATATCAGGGGCCCCGAACTCGGTAGTAGGATACCCTGCAAGTATTAATACTAACCAGTACCAAGAGACTACTTTTCGTTATCCTGTCAAATATGCAGCAAGAAGAAATTTGGTTGGGATAGTTTCTAAAACCATTAAAGTTTTCTTACTTGTCAATTCAAGCGATAATTGACTGCAGTTTCTATTTTGGCTAGCTACATATTCATCCCCGTGCACTCTTACTGAGGCCGATTTGAATCATTTGGCCAAAACCCCAAAAATAGATTTTTGCCTAATAAAAAAAGAAATTTTAGAATCTATATAATATATTTATAGAAATCTTATAAAAACAAATAGAATTCAACCTTATTAAAAATCTTTTATAAAAGAAATTATATCATTAAATAACCCTTAGAGCTAACTTTATTTATATATTTTTAGAATTCATTTCGAAATTTTCTATAGGAAGTGTATTAATTTTGAAATTCTATTTTCAAATAGTTTTTTTTATAATACATAGACCACTTGATAATAAGTAAAATAAGCTTAATAAGAATTCTTTATCTCAAACTTATCTTACTTAAATCAGATGACTAATATAGCTTTAATTAATTTCTATAATATTAAAGAAAAAAACATTTAATTCAGTACACAACCCTAAAGAAGTTTATAAAATAAAAAGAAAAATAATAAAGTTATTAATTAGAATCTAAGGAATCAATTAGTATAATTACTTTTAAATTATCTTGAAATTTGAAATAGATATCTAATATATTATAATTCTAATTATTTTAATTATATTTGTTTTATATTAATATTTTAATATTAGGTATTATGATTAATCAAGTTTTAATTAATCAAGCTAATCTTTTTAATAATATAGAATTTCTTAGATTTAGTATATAACTTTAAAGAAATTGATAAAATAAAAAAGAAAAAGATCCTTTTATTAATTAGAATTTAAGAAATTGATTAATATATTTCTTTTTTAATTATTTCAAAAATTGAAATTTTTATTCAATATAATAATATTCAAAGAATAAAAAGCCTAATATTGAAATTGAAATTGATTCGAATATTATTATATTAAACATAAATTTCAATTTTTGAAATAATTAAAAAAGAAATATATCAATCGATTCCTTGAATTCTAATTAATAGTTATATTTCTTTTTTTTTTATTTTATCAATTCCTTTAAGGTTGTGTACTGAATTGAATACTTTTTTCGGTATAAAAGCACACCACTAAATTCTAAATACATTTTTAGCTTAAGCGAAAATCTATTTTTGGGGTTTTGGCCAAATGATTCAAATCGGCCTCAGTAACTCTGCATGCTGGAAACGTACTAGATCCATTCTGGAGTAAAAGATGTGATACGTTGTGCATTTTCATCACTGTCATCAAGAGCACAGATATTACATGATTTAAACATCTCAAGAAGTGTAATTTCATGTATATACCTACTCTTTCCTCAGGTATCTCGGCTTGTTTGTGCGGGGTTTGCCGAGAACCTTCATGTAAAATTACACGCGATCACAAATCCGACAATTTGGTACCATTGGCCAACCGGCTTGAGCACGGCTTACTGCTGCACCATGTGGTTAGAAACATTGTGCATTATCTCACTACACTGCGCTCTTCCCGTATGGTTCCAGAGAGAATTTCCTGCATACTTGGTAAACCTGTCAATGCCAGTAACACATTCATGGGGCAATGCATGCTCGAACGGAAGGAAACGATAGTCTAAAATATCGCCACTGCAACTGGAGACTGAAGTCAGTGGCTCCAATATGCAGTAGTCGTTAAGAGATACTTCCACATGCAATTGACTACTGGATGAGAAGATGCTAACAGAGGTCAAAGATCCCCCCGAAATCTAGGGTTCTTACATATGGATTTATCAGCCTCTGCAGTATTTGTGGTGTATCCAACCACCACTCTCTTAGAAGTAGCCATCCGCCACACACTTGGTCTGCGTTCCTTGCCAGCTTCATGGTATCCCTGGAAGACGTCGTTGGGACTGCTGATATCAGTTTTCTCCTCTCACAGCCATAGCATGTGTGATTGTCCGGGAAAACCATTTCACTCTCCCAGAACAGAGTTACATTGACTATGGAAGCCCTTCGAAGATGTAGTATAATCTTGGCGGACTCAATCTTTCATCTATAAAAAAGAGACAGAAGCGTTGTGAAAGTATATCCTTATATCTTTTTCTTCTTTTTCCGCTTGAAGTACCTGTTCACAATACTATTTCTATCCTTCCAAAGACTCTGCTCGGAAATCTCTCATCCGGAAACTTTTTAGATAAAGTATAACGCCAAATATATTACAGCTTCCATACTGATAATTCGCTTGCGAACCTAAGCAAAATGTGTCAAACGTATATCGAAAAGTGCTTTGTATGCAGCGCACCCACTGGGACTAAAGTGGTCACGAATTGTAAAAATAAACCCCACTGTGTGATGTCAACATCAGAAGTGGTGTCAAAAGGTGCTTGTGCATTACACAAAAATACCGATAGCAAGTTGGAGCTCTTTCCTTAAAGTTCATTTGTAAGTGATTCCCATGATGGCGTCTCACAAATCGTTAAGACTAACTATTCGAAAATAATACCAAGATGGTTGGCGCCGATCAAGAGTGTAAGTGATTCTCAATTTCGTATTTGGCCAGAGACCCAGATGTTGCATCTGAATGAGTATGGCTATTTATTGCAGCTACCAACTTCATGCACTAAGCTTCCT